TTTCTTTATTCAAGACATCTTAAATAAATGTATCTTGTTTTAAGAATATTTCAATATTTTTTGGAAAAACTGGAACAAATTATTTTTGTTTGTTCTTTACAAACCCCATTCAAATATGTCATTTCAATTTCTCCTCAACAATATGATTGTTTTCTTAATCTTGAAGCTTTATGGTGTATATGCGTTTGTCTATAAGTGTACGTGAGGCACTATCCTGTCAATATCCGTAGTAGCCCTTTTATATTCCTGCATTTTCCCTGACGTGCCGTTAGCTCATGTGAGGAATGAGTCAGAAGTAATGGAGGAGACCTCCCCACCTCTTCCCTTCATTTCTGGCAAAGGAGGGGCGGAGAGTGAAAAGGTCAGGCTCGTTTTGCTTTTGTTTATGAATATTTTTCTGTTAGTTGTTTTTCATGGATCTCACATAACCGCACATTTTAGGATTGAATTGTCTGATGCCAAAATATTCACTAAATGCAGACATTCCCCTCTCTATCACACACACACACACACAACTCCAGATATTAGACCTGTAGTCTGTCATTTTGTGCTCTCAGGTCTTTGGAGAGGATTTGGATTGAGGGGCCTACTTCCTTTACTTCTTCCTCCAAATCCAAAAATCAGCTTTGGGTTCAGGATGCGGCGCACGGAAAAAAAAAAACCTTCAGGAAAAGAGTGAGTTTGAGATTCTGAGGAACAGAAGGAAACAGGTCACGGCAATCAAGAGCTCTGTTGGACATCTCAGTGCACGGTAGTAAAAAGGAAAATGGGTTTATGCTGTCAGAGGCCTGCGCAGATAAACTTGAGTGGCGTACATTACCGCAGAAATATCGAACAGGCCACAGGAACATCCATTTGGCTATGCAGAGTAACGGTAATGTCAGCACACAACAGGAACTTGGATTAGGCTCAAAAACACAGTCCCGCAAGTAACCGCTTTCATCTACATTCCAGCGAACGTTCAAAGGAGCACACGACTGTATAAAACAAATGCCGAAAAAGGAATTGAAGAAATGACCGTGAAGAATAAAGATTAGGAGTTTGGTGTATCTGCATGTCACTATGGTTTCAGGCGCTGCGGTCTAAGGGAAGGATTATGTTACTCATGAATGTGACCTTAATTTCAAACAACCCAGCATTCCTTTCCTTGACACTGTATATGCAAAGAGAGATTTCACAATAGCTAAACCTTGGAGCATTGAGGAACATCATATTGTGCGATAGCTGTAACATTACCTGTTCCCTAAACCAACAATACGGCCTAAACCGCCACAGCTTAAGTCATCCGATGGGGTATTGAGGTGCAGTGGTTAAATGAGGGTGATGCAAGCTGGAGTCTGGCTCGAATTTCATTTACCTATCGCTTCCTCATATCTTTCTATCCTTTCTTTACTATCCCTATTAATAGAAGTGTCAATAGGGCCAAAAAAATACAATAAAACTGGACTGGTTTGGACCATGAATGGAGCACCTGTGCAACTTTTGAGAGACTTAATCACATGGTACCTGAGAAGAACTGTTTCTGTAATAGGAACACCACTTTCAACACCACTGTCATAGGTTCAATTCCAAGGAAGAACACATACACTGAACATGTATAAGGGTTTCCACAAAAATATTTAGCAGCACAACTGTTTTCAACTTTGATAATATTAAGAAATGTTTCTTGAGCACCAAATCAGCATATTATAATGATTTCTGGAGGGTCATGTGACACTGAAGACTGGAGTAATGATGCTGGAAATTCAACTTTGACATCATAGGAATAAACTACATTTTAACATATACTTAAATAGATAAAACAAACATTTAAAATTATAATTCACAATATAACTGTTTTTACTTTATTTTTGGTCAAATTAATGCAGATTTGTGAGCATAAGACACACACACACACAAAAAAAAACATTTTAAAATCTTAATGACCCCAAACTTTTGAATGCAAAATTTTCTTTGGACAAATATTAAAATATACCACATATACCACTTTTAAAAGCTTAAAAAAGAAAAGAACGAATAATATAAAATAATATTATATGACAAATATTTTCATTTAAACCCCCCCAAAATGTGTCGAATTTTATAGTTTGTGTTCTTTGAATTCAGCCAAGAGGTCAATATGACATTTAGATCCTCTAATGGGCACACATTTTCTCATCACACAAATTCACAAATCAGAGTTCAGAACTTTCATAAGCAGTGAAAGCAATATTTCTTCCGATTGGGGTAAGCTTGCGTTTTCAGTCATCCCCATTGCATTTGTGTTAACGGAAGTCAAAAGAGCAAGTCTAGTCTGACCACAGCTTATGTAACTTGGCATGAAAGTTTCTGCCACTGAAATCAATAAAATAAGTATACTGTGAGTCTTTTTGGACTCAAGTGTCTACTAAAGTAGTGACTTTCAAACAAGGTGGCTCAATGTCAATATTTCACCTTATATAAATGGTTAGCAGCAATGTGGGAGGCTAGATAATATATGAGAACGTATAGAGGCCGGTCCCTCTGTCTCTGTGATTAGCCGGTGCAGACAGGCTCTCTCATTAGCTTGGCGTTGGATGAAAATGGAGCAAAATGAAGCTCATTATCACAAAGCGTAACTAATATAGCACAGCAACTCCCCAAACACACACACACATACACACGCTCAAATGGGAGGCAATAAAAAACCCCATTCTTTTCTGGCCCAAAACTTTCATTTCACATTAAAGTGACCCTGATCTCAGTCTGGGGTTAGCGGGTGGTGTCTGGACTTGAACAGTGCCAATTACCTATGATGTAATTACCTATGAGAGCGGAGCGTTTGCTGCTCTGCCTGTAGGGCCAACATGCTCTCCTCTCGCCCCTCCGTCGCTTTAAGGGCCCGGCCTGAGCTTGATTTATGGGTGAGCCGAGGATGGGGCGCCTGCTTTTGAAGTCCATGAATGTGCAATATAAAATACACCTGGAAAGAGCCAGGGGCTCCCAGCGCCTTACACGAGCAGGGGGTGGGGTGAGAGGAAGGGGGCATGAGGAGAGGAGGGGTCACCAGTGTTTCCTTTCAGGTTGGCTTTTATGGCACCACTTCAAACAATCGCTCGTGCTCTCTCTTTCTCTCTCTGTCCCCACCCTGGTCATTGTACAGAGCCAACTGGACTGTAATTGGTCTTTCTTCTCTTTCATAGGCCTGTCTCTCTCTCTCTATACACCCCTATCATTGTTCTCTGAAGTAACATGTAACAAATGTGTCAATTCACCAGGTGCCAGAAAGACTGAGCTCCTCTACTTGTTCAGAGAAGTGCGGCGTGGGGAGGGTTCACAGCTAACATCTGTAAAACATCTTCAAAAATATCACATATAAAAAAACGATCAAACTTTGAGCTGGATGATGATGATGAGAAAATTTGTTTTATGTGATAAATCAGTGAGGACATACTTTACTTGCTGTACTATAGTTTGACCATGTAAACAACACGCCGCATACATTGTATGTAGTGGTGTCCAAAAAACCCTGAAAATCTGGATTTTACCTAGAAAAAGTTTTAAAATTAGGATTTTAAAGAAAAAAAAATGATAACATATAATATAATAGCATTAATTTTATGTAATAACTTGTCTTTTTTATATTAAAAATCCTAACAACAATTCTATTATAATTAAATTCTAAAAACGTATAATCATTTCATTTAAATCTAATAAGGTTTAGGATTTTGAATAACTTAAAACAATATAAAATGAAGAATACTGTATAACATTATATTATTTATTTTATGTCATAACTTTTCTTTGTTTTAATTATTCAAAATGCTAATTCTAAAATGAAATTCAACTATATTATATTAAGGTTTCTATTATTTAAAATGATTTATTAATTTTGTTAATTAAAAATAAAAATAATAATAAGAGCAACATACTTTTAACAGTGGCCTCAGACATTTGGATCCCACTATATATCAAAATACCACTGAATTACCATCTGACATCATCACTATTGCATGGCTATACTTTTACTAAGGGTAAACAGCTTCATCGAGACGAATGGTAGCAGCTGTAAAACGTGACGCATAAGAATGTCCTTTCACAAAGTAATGTCTATAGTGCTTCAGAATATTCTCTTAGCTCCAGCCACTGAAACACACACACATACACACCTACCACTGAAGTGACAAAAACAGGATCTTGGCGCAGACATTACATCAGTGCTGAAACTTGAAGATGACATAACCTAATCCCACTAGATAGCACACACAATACACATACCCAGCACACACACATGCAAGAGTTTATGATGCTAATTCTGCCGTCTGATTTGTGAACATACTTTAATAGAGGCCCGACCGCACTGTTTGGTGTGCAGCCAGTCGCCGTGCAGATTCCACATGTGCGCGAGTTTCAGCGAGACAAACTGTTTGACAATTTGGGTAAAGACTTGAGGAGGAATCTGTATACACGTACGCATAACTTCGAAGTTTCGATAAACACAGAGAGAAAAAGAGTACACAAAAACATCACGCTCATGCACACGCAGAAACTCACACGCTCAATGAGCAACAGGTATCTTCCTTGGCGGGAGATCAGCCATTTTGAAGCTTAACCCCAAAGGAGTGACTCATTGCCATCACATGATACGGCACATAAAAAAACACCGGCCACAAGCCATTTCAGGTCGTGCCTTGATTTCCCCCCACCTATCTTCTGTTGTCGGGCGGCCAAGGGGCGGACACATAAGATGGGTGTATGTGTGAACCTTTCTCCAGCATTCAATGCCCTCCAGTACGTCATCTGCGTACTAAAATCTGATAGCCCTACTCCACAACAAAACTATGTGCAAACTTGAGCAAATCTTAAACGGGCAATCTGAGAAGAGCAGAAGTTGGAGGACATCATTAGACATGATTAACCAAAACTATGGACGCTTCCTAATCCTGAATGACTGAACTGAGTGGGAAATTATTAGGGAAAGATGCAGTGAAGACAAACGGGTGGGATGAGATCTATATAAAGCCTGCTTGGCAGGGTCTTACCTCTTTGAAGTTAACCTTGGGCCCTGATCTTTTCCGCTTGCTGCCCTTTCCACCAGAGCCACTGAAGTGAATCCATTTTGCAACCTGCGGAAGAGGCAGAGGAGGGCGGGAGAGAGAGAGAGATAGAGATAGAGTGAGAAGGTGAGAGAGACAAAGACATCGTAAAATACCTGCCGCGCCACATTTTCGCCTACTTCTCGGTAATGAAATAGTTAAATATGATGCACTCCGCACATACTAGCTCAATTCAACAGTTTCAGCGCTGAAGGACGTCATTCAAACATTAGAAAAATAGATACAATGGCTGAAAGACACTAAATAAAGAGCATCAGGGTAAGATCCTTTACTTTTCAACACAAAATACACTGTGACACTAACACTGTGATTTCCTCTCTTAGCCACTGAGTGATGCTGCAGGTACGAGAAACAGCAAATACGATCCACAATTACACAATAAAGACGATTCGAACCACAAGCATTCTCAAATACTTTCTCAAAACAGAAGATCCACAGTTATAAAAGTTACAAAAAGCTCTTGAATTAAGTAAATGAAGTGCTAATAAAGTGCTGATACAACAGATATAAACAGGTGTTCAATGGGAGCTTTGAGAGTTAAAAAAAGTGCTTTACCTCTTCTTTGACTTCTTGCACCACTGGAGTCCGCGACCATTCTGAGCAGGAGTCCCTCAGCCACTGAACAAGAGGAAGAGAGCAGCAGAATGTTGAGTAGAGAGAGAGAGAGAGAGAGAGAGAGAGAGAGAGAGAGAGAGAGAGAGAGAGAGAGAGAGAGAGAGAGAGAGAGAGAGAGTCACTTGTTCCTTGATGGGAACTAACCACTCGACACGGCGAGCTCTGTGTCCAGGAGCACGAGTATCAAACTGAGGACAAAATCCCCTTATTAAGTTGAAATGGATGAGTTCTCCTCCAAAGATCCGTGCTTGTGTCTCCTGCGAGATCTTCCGCACGCTCGCTCTGCACTTAACCTTATTAAAGCTCGCACCGACGGCGCACTGAATACCTTCCCTCACTGAGAGAGGGAGGAAAGAGAAAGGAGGGGAGCGAGTGAGAAAAGGAGGAGGCAGAGAGATGAGGTGTGCGTGGGGGGGAGCAGACGGCAGTAAAAGGTCTGTGAGTGGAGCTTCATTGTAATCAACAGTGTTCACTCCCTGTGCAGTCAGAGGAGGGGCCGTATGTCTCTCTCTCTCTCTCTCTCTCTCTGTCACACACGCAAGCACGCACACACACACTTCTCTCGGGGCCACTGCTCTCAGGAGGACTGTCTCTTTAAAACTGATGAGTCGTGTGTGCGTTGAGGTGTGTAAACACAAAGGCAGGTATAGAAGGATCTCACAGACAGGCTGACATGGCCTCTCACAGGTAATAAGAAACATGTGGGAGATAAGAGGAGAAAAATAGATCCATATGAATTACAAAAAAGTCAAGTGATGGTATAAGTTATTAGTACATTCATATACCATGGTATATCAAAAGGTAGTTAAAAAAATATCACAGTACTTTTTTGTTACCACAGGCATTTTTACATCTTCGGAAGAAAAGGTGCAGTGTTGTGGGTGGTCGCCAAGGCGTTGCTATGTGACTGAGTGGTTGCTAGGGGGTTATTTACTCGCTCAGATTAAAAAAGAGCCCATATCCTTCAAGTTTTGTTCAGACAGTCAGCAAAAAACGTCTCGGTTACATATGGTAACCCTCGTTCCCTGAGGGAGGGAACGGAGACGTAGGTCAGACTGACCAATAGGAATCTCGCTAGAGAGGCCAATCTACTTCGAGTGAAACTAAAACAAGCCAATGCACATTGGCATGCAATCATTTGCATCAGCTGCGCGTCCTCGTCAGCGCGGGTATTTAACAGCAGCTGTTATGATTGCACACTAGTTTTTTGCTGAGGAGCCAAACCTGAAAAAGCTGGCCGCCCCAGCGGGCGGCAGCAGATGTGGCGACGGGACCTACGTCTCCGTTCCCTCCCTCAGGGAACGAGGGTTACCATATGTAACCGAGACGTTCCCTATCGGTCAGTCACTACAACGTAGGTCAGACTGACCAATAGGAATCCCTACCAAAGCGCCACAGCTGCTGCACCCCATCCAGCGCCCCATGCAAGCCTCTACACCTTCTTGCCTAGAAGGACGATAGGAGGAGGCTACACACAGAGTGTATCTGTCACTGTTGTTCCGTAATAACCCATACAGTGAGATTATTGGATAACACTGGGAAAGCGTGCCCTTCAGTTAGGAAGGAGGACGCTGCGGAAGCCACTTACTTCAAGGAGTTATGTGGGGAATACATATGGACTAGCCCGAAGGCTGTACTACATATGAGATAGTGGGTGACTTAGCCCAAGGGAAAGACACGGGCTTCCGTTAGGAGCAGCCGTGGAAAATATACACATATGGGATCCCCGTAGGGTCACACATATGGAACCCAGCCCAGATCCGGTTCTCAAGGATTCAGCGGATAAAGGCCTGGCACCTGGACGCTCCGCCATGTCCGGGCCGAGGGGTTTTTGGAGGACTCAACAGGTTTTTCACTCTGGAGCAATAAGGGTGCACAGTAGGGTGCAGCAAGCCGACAGAGCCGGGCCTCTCGGTGCTTCTACCCGTTTAGGGTGAGAACACGGGAGGAGACCGGCTCTACACGTAGGCTATAATATCTAGCGAACGTGTTAGGTGTCGCCCAGCCCGCAGCTCTACAGATATCTGTTAGCGAGGAGCCACGTGCCAGCGCCCAGGAGGATGCAACGCCTCTCGTGGAGTGTGCATGCAACCTGAGCGGGCAGGGCACGCCTTGAGCTTGGTAAGCCAAGGCGATGGCATCCACTATCCAGTGGGCCATCCTCTGCTTGGAGACAGCCTTTCCCCTCTGCTGGCCTCCATAACAGACAAAGAGCTGGTCTGAGGTCCTGATGCTTTGAGTTCTGTCCACGTACATACGCAGAGCGCGAACGGGACAGAGCAAAGCCAGGGCTGGGTCTGCCTCCTCCAAAGGCAGCGCTTGCAGGTTCACTACCTGGTTTTTGAAGGGAGTGGTAGGAACCTTGGGCACATAGCCAGGCCGGGGTCTTAATACCACATGGTTGTCACCCGGCCCGAACTCTAGGCACGATTCGTCGACCGAAAATGCGTGCAGGTCTCCTACCCTCTTGACAGAGGCCAGTGCAACCAGTAGCAAAGTCTTCATGGAAAGAAGCTTTAAGTCTACTGACTGCAGAGGCTCAAAGGGAACATCCTGAAGTGCTCGAAGCACCAGGGGAAGATCCCAAGAGAGTATGGAGGGGGGTCGAGGAGGATTTAATCGTCTCGCCCCCCTAAGAAACCTGACGACCAGGTCGTGCTTCCCCACTGTTTTGCCATCTACGTGGTCGTGATAAGCTGAAATAGCTGCAGCATGTACTTTGAGGGTGGAGGGAGACAGCCTTCGCTCCAACCCTTGCTGCAAGAAGGAAAGCACAGACCCTATCGAACATCTTCGGGGGTCTTCTCGGCGAGAAGAACACCACTCGACGAACAGGTTCCACTTCAGGGCGTAAACACGTCTCGTGGACGGCGCCTGTGCTGAAGTGATGGTGTTAAGTACCTCAGGGGGTAAGTCACCTAGAACCTCCGCGTCCCGTCCAGGGACCAGACATGGAGTTTCCAGAGGTCTGGACGCGGGTGCCATAGGGTGCCCCGTCTCTGAGTCAGAAGATCCTTCCTCAGAGGAATGGGCCAGGGAGGGACTGTCCCAAGGAGCATGAGTTCTGGGAACCAAGTCCGGGTGGGCCAATAGGGAGCCACCAGAAGGACCTGCTCCTCGTCCTCCCTGACTTTGCACAGTGTCTGTGCAAGTAGGCTCACTGGGGGAAACGCATATTTGCGGAGGCCCCGGGGCCAGCTGTGTGCCAGTGCGTCCGTGCCGAGTGTTCCCTCGGTCAGGGAGTAAAACAGCTGGCAGTGGGAGGTCTCTGAAGAGGCAAACAGGTCTACCTGAGCCTCTCCGAACTCTCTCCAGATCAGCTGAACCACCTGGGGGTGGATTCGCCATTCTCCCGGAAGCACAGCTCGTGATAGCTCGTCGGCCACACGGTTGAGCACGCCAGGGACATACATGGCTCGAAGCGACCTCAGACGCTTCTGACTCCAGAGGAGGAGATGGCGGGCGAGTTGCGACATGCGACGGGAGCGTAGACCACCTTGTCGGTTGATGTACGCCACGGTCGCAGTGTTGTCCGTACGGACCAGCACGTCCCTGCCCCGTAGCGGCCTTTTCAGGCGGCTCAGAGCGAGATGTACTGCTAGCAACTCGAGGCAATTGATGTGCCAATGCAGTTGGGGAGCCGTCCACACCCCTGACACTGCATGCCCGTTGTACGTGGCACCCCAGCCGGTGGCAGAGGCATCTGTGAAAACCACAGCATGCCTGGAGACCTGTTCCAAGGGGACTCCTGCCCGAAGGAACGAGAGGTCTGACCACGGGCTGAAGGTCTGGCGGCAGGCCGGTGTGATTGCCACCCGGTGAGTGCCATGATGCCACGCCCATCTCGGGACTCGGCCGTGAAGCCAGTGCTGAAGCGGTCTCATATGAAGCAAGCCGAGCGGAGTTACCGCTGCTGCCGCTGCCATATGCCCCAGGAGCCTCTGAAAAAAATTCAGTGGGACCGCTGTCCTGCCTTTGAACGTATTCAAGCAGTTCAGCACCGACTGAGCGCGCTGCTCTGTGAGGCGCGCTGTCTGTGCGACCGAATCCAACTCCATACCGAGAAAAGAGATCCTCTGCACAGGGGCGAGTTTGCTCTTTTCCCAGTTGACCTGAAGGCCCAACTGGCTGAGGTGCGTGAGCACGAGGTCCCTGTGTTCGCATAACTGATCTCGAGAGTGTGCTAGTATAAGCCAGTCGTCGAGATAGTTGAGGAGGCGAACGCCCTGTTCTCTCATGGGAACAAGGGCCCCCTCCGTGACTTTCGTGAAGACACGGGGAGACAGGGACAGCCCGAAGGGCAGGACCTTGTACTGATATGCTCGACCCTCGAACGCAAAGCGCAGAAACGGCCTGTGTCGAGGAAGAATCGAGACATGAAAGTACGCGTCCTTCAGGTCGATCGCTGCAAACCAATCTTGGGGACGGATGCATCCGAAAATGCGTCTCTGCGTGAGCATTTTGAACGGTAGCTTGTGGAGGCTCCGATTCAAAACTCGCAGATCCAAGATCGGTCGTAACCCACCACCTTTCTTGGGTACAATGAAGTAGGGACTGTAGTGCCCTGACCCCATATCGGCTGGAGGGACCGGCTCTATCGCGTCCTTCGCCAGTAGGACTGCGATCTCCGCACGCAAGACATGGGCATCGGCTGCTCTCACTGTAGTGGAGTGGATGGCCCGAAACTTGGGGGGACGCCGGGCGAACTGAATCGCAAAGCCGAGCCTGATGGTCCGAATGAGCCAGCGAGACGGACTGGGGAGCGCTAACCAGGCTCTCAGAGACCGTGCAAGCGGGACCAAAGGGACTGTAGGCGTACCCGGAGTGGGGCAGCGAGGTGGAACACAGGGACGTGGCTCGGGAGGCTCTCTCTGGGAGGCGGCCCGTAGCAGGGTCTGTGTGTGCTGTGCAGCACTTACCTGGTTCCACGGGGCAGGAGGTGCAGGAGGCGGCTCGGTGGCGTTCTCGAACTGCACACTGCTGCTCACTGGCGACAGAGGAGG